GGATATGAGCATCACTAGTTGGGCCCAGCATTTATTGCCCATCCCTAATTGCCTACAGGGTAGTTAAGATTCAAACCCCTTACTGTGGCTCTGGAGTTATATGTAGGTCAGACTAGGTAAAGACAACTGATTTCCTTCCCTAAAGGACACTAATGAGCCATATGGGTTTTTCACCAACAAATGATCATGGTTTCATGCTCATCATCAGGCACTTGCTTCCATATTTTTATTGAAAAGCTGTCATGACAGGCTTTGAATCCAGGTCCCCAGAACATTACTCAGGTCTCTGGGTAATCATCTAATGATAATACCAGTAGTCCACCGCCTTCCATAATACTGACAAAAGCAGATAATCACAACAATTATGTAAAGATTACCACAGTGATTACCACAATGCTAGATACATGAATGGAGGACTATGTTGAGAATACAGTGATTAATTTATTGAAGGGATTTTGGCAAGTTCCATTGATTGACACAGAAAAAGAAGTATAACCTTTTATAACCCCCGGGTAGACTTTATCAACATAAAGTCAGAATGAAGACTGTGCCAGCAACTGTTCAAAGATTAACCAGCAAGGTCATTGAGGAATTATGCAACTGTGTTGTCTGTATTGATGTTTTGGGTTATGGTTATCGAAACCTATGAAGAACATTTTCAATACTTTAATGAATTATTTGATCGGTTACAAGGATCTAAGTTATCAATGCCAAAGTGACTTATTGAGGCCAGGTAGTGCCCAGAGGAATATAAGTAAGGGATTTTCAAAGCCCAACCCAAGAGATTTTGCAGAATATTGGCATGAATGAATTCTGTTAGAAATTTATTCCAATTTTCAGCATCACAATGGCTACCTTGACAATTCTGTTAAAGAAAGACAATAAATTTAATGAGACAAAGAAGTGTCAGAATGCCTTTGAAAGTTTGAAAACTGCTGTCTACCACACCAGTGTTAACAGCAATAAGTAATTGTAAACCACTGAAACTGACTGTTGATGTGAGTGATGTTAGTTTCGGTACGTTTTATTATGACGGATGAGATGGGAAACTAAAGGCCAGTCAGTTACTTTTTTTTTGTTAGCAGAATTAGTCAACTCTGGACAGAGAGACTTTGAGTTTGGAGTTAACTCCACAATGCTTTAAAGTTGATGTTATGTAGTGATATTGTTATTGATGTAGTAGTCCAGAGACCTAGGTAATGTTTGGAGACCCAGGCTCAAATCTCACCATGGCAGAAGGTGGAATTTGAATTTTGTAAAAAATGAAATCTGGAATTAAATATCAACAATGATCATGAAACAAATGTTGACTCTTGTAAACCATCTAGTTCACTCATATCCTTTAGGGAAGGAAAATTTGTTGTCCTTACTTGATCTCGTCTACATGTGACTCCAGATCTATAGCTATGTGGTTGACTCTTAACTGTCCTCTGAAATGGACTAACAAGCCACTCAGTTGCATCAAACCAGCAAAATATCTCAAAGGAATGAAAATGGACTGATCACATGGAATTGGCCTAAGCACTGAAAATGACATTGGCAAAGTTACTTCTGTTGGATTTGCAAAGTCCTTCTTACTAACATCTGCGGGTTAGTGCAAAAATTGGGAGAGCCGTCTCACAGACTAATCAAGCAGCAGCTTGACAGAGTTATACTCACAGAATGATGCCTTGCAATGTCCCAGACATTATCAGCACTGACCCTGGATATGTCCTGTCCTTCCAGCAGAGCAGTCCCAGCTTAGGCAACAGTAATAATGGGATACAGTCAGGAGGGAGTTCCCTTGGGATTCTGCAACATTGATTCTGGACACCATGAAGTCTTTCAGCATCAGGTTAAACCTTGACAAAGAACCTGTGACTACCATGGACAGCTCCCCCCATGCTGGTGAATCTGTGCTCCTCGATGTGGAACACCGCGTGGAGGCAGCACTGAGGGTGGTAAGGGTGCAAAATGTACTCTAGGTGGGGGATTTCAATACCCATCAAGAGTGGCTCAGCAGTAGCACCACTAATCGAGCTGGTTGGGTCCTAAAAGACATAGCTGCTAGACTGGGTCTGCAGCAGGTGCTGAAGGAACCAACAAGACAGAAAAATTCTCTTAGTTCCCAATGGAGTGTTGAAGGAGGTGGCTATAGGGTTGGGGATCATCTTCCAAAAATTCTACATTCTGGAATGATTCCTGAAAATTGGGAAGTACAAGTGTAACTCCACTATTTAAAAAGGGAGTGACAGAGAAAGCAGGGAACTGTAGACCTGTTAGCCTTACCTCAGCAGTAGAGAAATTAAAGAATTATAAAGGATGGGTGAAATAGACGCCTGGTTGATAATGATCTGAGTGGGCATAAGCGGCATTGCTTTGCAAATGTCAAATTTGTTGGAGATAACACAGTGTGGAGCTGGAGGAATACAGAAGGCCAGGCAGCATCAGAGGAGCATCTGAAGAAGGGTCCTGACCCGAAACATCAACTTTCCTGCTCTTCTGATGCTGCCTGGCCTGCTGCGTTCCTCCAGCTCCACACTGTGTTATCTCTGATTCCAGCATTGGCAGTTCTTACTAACTCTGAAAAACTTGTTGGAGTTTTATTTGAAAATATTACTGACAGAAATGATAAAGGAAAGTCAATGGATCTAGTATACTTAGATTTTTGGAAGGCCTTTGATAAAGTCCGTCACAGGAATCTCATGGGACAGGGTGTAATGTATTGACATGGATTAATGTTAAGACAGAAAACAGAGAAGAAAAGATGGGTCATTCACATATTGGCAGGCTGTACCAAGTCAGGTACTACAAGATCAGTATTTGGATCCAGCTGTTCACAATATACATCAATGATTTGGAATTGGTGACCAAGTGTAATATTTCCGAACATGCGAATGATACAAAATTAAGTGGGAATATGTGTTGTGAGGAAGATGGAAAGCAACTTCAGGAGGAGTTAGACACGATTTCTGAATGGGCTAGAACAAGACAGATGGAATATGAGGTGGAAAAATATAAGGGTATCCACTTTAATAGGAGAAACAGATGTGCAGCATATTTCTTAAATAAGCCATAGAGTCATACAGCGTAGAAACAGGACCTTCAGCCTGCCATGTCTATGCTAACCAACAAACACCAAACTTTCTAATCCCATTTAGCTGCACTTGGTCAATGCTATGGCATTTAAGTGCTCATCTGGATGCTTCTGAAATTTTGCCAGAGTGCCTACCTCGACCACCTTCTTACGCGGCACATTCCATATTTCTGCCACCGTCTGGGTGAAAATATGGTTGGAAAATGCAGATGGACGAAGCGACCTAATTGTCCTGTTTACTAAGGCACTGAAAGCCAATATGCAGGTGCACCAAGCTATTAGAAATGGAAAGTTAACCTTTATCACCACAGGATTTGAACACAGGAGTCATGTAGCCTTGTATAGGAGCTTGGTTAGACTGCACCTGGAACAATATGTGTGGCTTTTTTCTCCTTATCTAAAAAAAAGAAATATTTCTTAAAAGTCTCTTTTCATTTATTTTCTTGCAGGAATATGTTTAGTACAATGTATAACTTTAAGTCTGAATTATATTTTGTATGTTGTGTATTAAGATGAAGAAGACATGGTGGGATGTTTTCAGAGTTTTATTTGTAAGCTTGGGGTTGCGGTGTCAAAGAATCTGCAGTCTGTTTTATTTCCATGCACTTTAATGAGTTTTTACAACTTTGACTTGAAAGGTGGGGAAGTTAACAGTTGATTACTGTTGATTACAGTACTGTTGATTAGCAACAGGAGTGTGGTGATTCAGAGAAAGGCAGAACAATCCAGAAAGTAAGTCATCCTCAGTGCGGTGTGTGTTAAAAAATGATAAATTGCTGGATATTGAGTTTAGGAAACTAATTTGAATTTCAAGGTAATTGTGAGATTAGTTTGTAGCTTGTTTCAGAAGTCTCAGGGAAGACATCAGATCAAGGAAAAATGCATCTAGTGACTGCACAGATAAATATTTTCCCATCAAGCTGCTTAGCGATGTTATTATACACCTCTGGAAGCAGGTGGGACTTGAACTCATCTCCTTCTTCAGGCAGTATGTGCACAAGCCCTACGCTACATGATCCCTGTGACTGCATAGATGTATGTTTATTTCCTTATCAACCTGTTCAGAGATGTTATTATATACACCCATGGAGCAGGAGGGACTTGATCCTAGGCCTCCTAGTTCAAAGGGGGGGATAGGCACTACCACTGCACCACAACAACCCTGTGACTGCATAGGTAGTTGTTTTTTTTCTAATCAGCCTGTTCATAGATGTTATTACACACTTCTGGAGCACATCGGGACTTGAACCTGCATCCCCTGGCTTAGAGGTAGGGACACTACCACAGTGCCACAAGAGCCCTGCGACTGACAGGAAACTGGTTGCAACTATCCCAGCTTGAGTTTGAGCAAGGAGCTTTAGTGTGCAGATAGCAGTAACTCTTTGAGGTTTGAGTTGGTTTAAGGATTATGTTGGAATAAGTGTGATAGTGTTAAGATGTCTCTTTTTCTAATGTCTGTAACAAAATCTTTCCAACCTTTCATTTTGACTAATGTAATGTAGTTCATATTTTGTTTTCTTTTGTAATAAATGTTTTAATCTTTGTGTTAAAAATATACTGGCAACGCTTTCGGAATGTGTTTAGTAACTGACTTCCATGATTGAAAAAAGCAAATTTAGGATCTAACAAACCATTTTAGGATCTGACTTTTCCAATCAGCTTAACGTCAGTTGTGATTTTAACAGAGGTGCATTGATGTTTGTGAGAACTTGCTATGTCTAAATGGCTTTTTAATATGGTTTTTTCTCTATTGGTAACTCACTATTTACACTTTTTGAGAATCTCAATAGTGTGAACTGAACCTGAAGGATAATGTAGAGCAAAATACCATATTAGAATCTTGTTCAAAATGAGTAAATTATACTTCTGCCAACAAATAATGTAACCAAAAATATCTCCATTTTCATTTCTTTTGCTTACTTAGTTCCATGGTTTCCTCGGACCATTCAAGATTTGGACAAATTTGCAAATCAGATCCTGTCCTATGGGTCAGAACTCGATGCTGATCATCCTGTAAGGACCTTACTTTGAGAAAATAAATTCATGTTATATAAGAAAACAGGAAACCACTCATAAATGAATGTAGAAAGAGATGGAGAAACTCATCAGGTCTCGAAGCATCTGTGGAGAGAGAAACAAAGATAATGCTTCATGTCTGTTAATTGTGTTAACTCTTGTTTCTGTCTCTGCAGAGGCTGCCACAGTTGCTGAGTTTCTCCAACATCTTCTGTTTTCATTTCAGATTTCCTGTATCTGCAATGCAGTGCTTTTATTTATGAGAGACGATTCATGTGGAGGGTGTGCTGCATTGGCAGAGGTGCCAATGTTGGGATGAAACATTAAAACAAGATTTGTCTGCTCAGGTGGATATTAAGCATCTCATGTCACTAGTTCAAAGGAGAGCAGGGAAGCTGTCTCTAGTGTTTCAGCCAAAATCCATCCCTTAGTCAAAAAGAACTTAAAACAAATTTACTGGACATTATCTGGGACCAAATTGGCTGCTGTGTATTCTAAATTACAACAGTGACTGTATTTTAAAACTGTTTCCTTGGTTGTGTAAAGTGCTTGGGGACATCACAACATCGCCATCAAAATGCAAGGTTTCCTCTTTCTCTCTGTTACTGCTCATGCCACTTTCAGTTAGTCACCACATGAGGGAGCAAACCAACATCCACTCAGAAATCGATTTCCCCTCAATGTTACCATTCAAGATTTTGCAGTGTAAATTTCAACTTGTAAATGATTGTGATTATCACTCAGTGTGAGTGTTGACAGGTATTATTGAGTTGACAGAGTCAATAGGGAAAAGCTATTGACCCTGGTAGGGACAGTCCATGGCTCTAGACAACACCAAAGTGTACAAAGACTCCGCAACTCAGACACCCTGGTGGAGCTAGTTGGCTGGACCACTGACAGCATAGGGTTTGATCCCGATTCTGGCAGAGGTGGATTTTTAAAACAAAAACATAAATTGCTGGAAAAGCTCAGCAGGTCTGGCAGCATCTGTGCAGAGAAGTCAGAGTTAACGTCTAACAGTTCTGAGGAAGGGTCACTCCACCTGAAACGTTAACCCTGATTTCTCTCCACAAATGCTGCCAGACCCTGCTGAGCTTCTCCAGCAATTTCTGTTTTTGTTTTTCATTTGCAGCATCATCCGTTCCTTTGGTTTTTATTGTGGATGTTTAAAGGTTCATTTACAGAATGTGGGTCCAGCATTTATTGCTGAGAGGGCATTTAAGAGTCAGGAACATTGTTGTGGGTCTGGAGTCATGGGTAGGGACGACAGATTTCCTTCCCTAAAGGTCATTAGTGAAGCAGATGGGTATTTCCCCTACCAACGATCATTTCATTAGACTCTTCATACCAGATTCATTTTAATTGCTATGACAGGACTCAAACCCAGGTCCTCAGAATATTACCTGGGTCTCTGGATTAACAATCTAGTGATAATACCACCAAGCCGTCACCTCCTGCATCCTGCCCTAATCATGGTAAAGCCTGGAACACAATGGGTCAGTCCTGGCTTTGGGTAAAGAACTGAAGAAAAAAGATTTCCTGAAAGAATGTTAAAATTCTGCACTTTCTATATTTCTTACACTGATTTTATCCCATTTAATATTTTAAATCTATACTTTCCTTCTCCTCATACATAGTGGTAAAGCAACGGGTCATGAGCTGTTACCAGAGACTGTGGTTTGGGGCACCTCTCTGCATGAAGCATGGGGGCTAACCCCGAGACTCCTCTACCCTTACTACCCACTGTAGGCATAACAGAGCGACTTACAAGTTGACAATCAACCTGTTTGGTCACATTACAAAAACACGTTCCACGGCCATCAAGTCCTGGAGTCGCACTCGAACCCAGAGCTTCTGGCTCAGGGGCAAGGGCACTACCCACTACACCAAACGACCTCTTATATCCTGCACTATTACTGATCTAATCTTTGTAAACATTTCTCAGCACTACATATCTGCTGTTCTCTCACTCTGACTGTCTGGGATCCTCATAGCACACTCGCAGTCTGTCAACGCCCTTTCTTTTTCTTTAGTTCAGCCTGCTTGTTCTCATTGATTCTCCTCGTTGCATTGTCGCTTCCCATCCCCACAGCTCCTCTCCTCAACTCCTCTAAGAAACAATACAATACCTCACCTCCAAACTCCCACCTCTTTCTATCTTTTAAGTGTGATGAGGGTTTCTGCTTCTCCCACCCTTACAGGCAGTGAGTTCCAGATTCCCACCAAGCTCTGGGTGAAAAAGATTTTCCTCACATCCACTCTAAACCTCCTGTACCTTTTCTTAAATTTACGCCCCAGTCATTGATCCCTGCACCAACAGGCAAAATTTCTTCTCTTGTTCCCTGTTTACACCCGTCATCATTTTATCCATCTCAATCATGTCCCCTTTCAATCTCCTCTGCTCCAACGCAAACAGCCCCAGTCTGTCCAATCTTTCTTTATAAACTCTCCAACCCAATCAACATCTTGGTAAATCTCCTCTGCACACTCTCCAGTGCTATCGCACACCTCTTATAATGTGGTTCCAGAACTGCACACAATACTCTTGCTTTGGTCTAACCAATGTTTTATACAACTCCAGCATCACCTCTAAAATTAAACAAAGAACTGCAGATGCTGGAGATCTGAAACAATAACAGTCCTACAGCTTATCCACTTTATTCTTCCATCCCCCAACCCCCATCCGCCCTCCCATCTTCACACCCCTGCCATCCCGTCATCAGCATAAACACCACCATTTCCTTGTTGCTATCAAGTCTGAAGATCTGAAATATTAGTTCTGCTTTATGTCCACACCCTTTGAGGTTCTCCAGCAATTTCTGTTTTGTTCCAACACAACCTTCCTGCTCTTAAACTCTCTGCCTCAACTAATACATTGTCTATAGTGTCCAGGGATATGCAGGCTAGGTGGATTAGCCATGGGAAATGCGGGGTAATAGGATGGGGGGTGGGGGGGGAGGGGGCTGCACCTCAGTAGGGTGCACTTTTGACAATTGGTGCAGACTTGAAAGGGCTGAATGGCCTTTTTCTGCACTGAAGGGAATCTATGATATTTTATTCTATGATTCTATAACATTTAATAAAGACTCATGTCCCATATTTAACCACATTTTCTACTTGTCCTAACTATCTCAAGGGACTGGCGAACATACACACCAATGTCCTTTTCATCCTTGGTGCTTCTCAGGGTGCTACCATTCATCATATATTCCCTTGCCTTGTTTGTCCTGCCCAAGTACATCACCTCACATTTATTCAGATTGGACTCCATTTATCACTAATCAGTCCGTCTGTTTATATCTTCCTGTAATCTAGGGCCATCCTTCTCATAACTTAACACCCCACTGATTACTGCATTATCTGCAAACTTGGTGACCAACCTAGCTGTCATAATAATCCATCTATTTACAAATGTCCTTTAGGACATCCTTACGTGGTTTGGCCTATATGTGACTCCTGGCCAACAGAAATGTGGTCACTTTTTAACTGCCCTTTAAAATAGCCAACTTAACCATTCACTTCAACAGCAGTAAGGGATGGGGAACAAATTCTGGCCTTGTCAGTGACCCCCACATCACATGAAAGAATAAAAATAACAAACAATACAAATTTGGTGCAGGAGTAGGTCATTTGGCCCCTCAAGCCTGCTCCATTATTGAATAAAATCATGGTCTAATTACATGGCATTTCCACGTACACTTTCCCCCCTCATTAACAGGGGAGGCAATGGCCTAGTGGTTCCAGAGACCTAAGTAATGTTCTGTGGGCCTGGGTTCAAATCCTGCTATGGCAGATGGTAGAATTTGAATTCAACAAAAAAAAGTCTGGAATTAAGAGTCTAATGATGACCATGAGCCCATTGTCGATTGTTGGAAAAACTCACCTGGTTCACTAACGTCCTTTAGGGAAGGAAGCTGCCATCCTTACCTGGTCTGGTCTACATGTGACTCCAGACTCACAGCAATGTGGTTGACTCTTTAATTGGGCAATTAGGGTTGGGCAATAAATGCCAGCAATACCTACATCCTATGCATGAATTTAAAAAAAACTTTTCACTCCCTCACTTACCCAGAGTCTATCTACCCCTGTATTAAAGACATTTAAAGACAGTTTCCATCACTGTTTGCAGAAAGGAAGTCCAAAAGCTCACAACTTTCTGTGAGAAGAAAAAAGACTCCTTATCTCTGTCTCAAAAGGTGGCTCTTATTTTTAAACAGAGATCTCTAGTTCTTGATTCTCTCTCGAAAGAAAACATCCTTCCCACACATGACCCTGTCAAAACCCTTCCGAATCCTATATGCTTCAGTCAAACATAAAAATAAAATTCACACACAGAGGTACGGATAGGACAGGAACAGATAAATGTGTCCACATGCACAAGGATGCACTCACCAATATAAATGCAAACATGTACAACAAACGCAAGGAAATGTAAATTATAGGCAGCTGTAGATTTTGAGATAAGTTGGTTTTCATGATTAAAGTTGTGGAGTTTTGCCAGTGCAGTACAAATTGCAGCTATTAGAGTGTAATTGAGGTAATATAATAAGATATAATTACACTTCTTAACCAAAAATGCATTAGTTTTTAAAAAGGGGTATCTTTTGCAAATTGACAACATAATCATTATGCATTTGCTAAATTACACAGTGGCTGATGGGACTGATTGTAGATCCTGGCCTGCAGTTTCAAATGTGTCACTCAAACCTGCCACCTTCAGTTACTGAGCCTGCTATTTCACTGATAGACAGAGAGCCTGAGGTGGTTATGTTCTTTTGCCTTCGCAGGGTTTTACAGATGCTGTGTACCGAGCTCGCAGGAAGGAGTTTGCAGACATCGCGTATAATTATCGACAGTAAGTACAGAAATTTTACAGAGTACGTCTCTCCAAATATACCGATTTTTTATAGGATGCACAAAGTGGCTTGGATCAAGCAAATAGGGAGAAATTGCTTCCACGGACTGCAGGGTTCGTAACCCCTGATCACAACTTGAAAAGTAACAGGCAAAAGGAACAAAGAGGAGCTTCTGAGGATGAGAGGTGGGCCATTTAGGACTGAGATGAGGAGAGTGGGGAGCCTGTGGAATTCTCTGTTGCAGAAACTGGATAAAGGCAAAAACATTGACATTTTCAAGAATGAGTTTGATATAGTTCTCAGAGCTAAAGGGGTCAAAGGAGATAGGGAGAAAGCAGTCACAAGGCACTGAGTTGGATGATCAACCGTGATCATATCGAATGGTGGAGCAGGTTGGAAGAGCCAAATGGCCTAATTTTGCTCCTATTTCTCTATGTTTCTGTGAGATGTGAAGGGCTTGCTCTCCTTGAAGGACCTGTAAAAGCAGAATCAAGAATAGCTATAAAAAGGGGAACAAAATCAGAAATTGCTGGAAAATCTCAGCCGGTCTTGCAGTATATGTGGAGAGAGAGCAGAATTAACATTTTGGGTCCACTGAACCTTCTTCAGAACATCATATTTTAAAAAGGGTGAACTGGATGAAGGAAACACATTTACGGTTTTCAGGAAAAGAATATGACACAGGAGTGGGATTAAGTAGCACCTCTCTGAAAATGCTGGTGCTAGAATGGTGGGCTGAATGGCCTCTTTCTGAGCTGAAGATCCCGTGGTTCTATAACAAAATGCTTGCAAATAGCTAACTCTACATCCCAAATACATTGATTGTGCTTCTTTTCTCCTTTGACTAGCAGAAGTGAATAGAGCTGTGCCTATATGAATATATTTATTATGCAAGCAGCCTTTGTTATCTAATTGCTGAGCTTTATCGGTCGCAGCTACAAAGGATGAAATATTGAATGATGCTGCTCTAAGCAATGTTCTTCACAACCTTGAAGAGGTTAGAATTTACACATTGAAGTGGGGACTGTACACAATATGATAATGATGAGTCATTTTAACGACTGATGCAATTCATCCTTTAGTATTCTGCGTTTATTCTGTCACAGCTGTGTTCAGCAGTTTTAATTCCACACACTGCCAACCTCCACTCTCGAAACCTCGTAATTAAATCCAAAGAGGTACAAGCACAACGTACAGTGTCTTCAAAAAAAAATCTTGTGGGAGCATCCTGGCTTGGCCAGAAACTTGCTATGCAGGGTTCTCCTCTACAAAGAGCATTGGCCAAAAGCTTCCAATCTTTCCTCTTAGTGTGCAGGGATGGGTGTCAAAATTGACAGGATGTCTACCCCTCCTCACACCCTATAGCCCGTCCCTTCCTCACACACGACCATCAATGGGGAATCCTTTAAATGGTCGTTCAGTGGACTTCCTGGGAAAGGGGGCCGCCCCACCTATCTGGTCACTGGAGGCTGCAGAGCTGTGTTGCATGTGCCTCCTGGTGGCATAGCAATGGGGAGGTCTAGGAACAGTGGGCACACAAGATAGGTTTTGATTTTGAGGAATGATCGTAGTTGGGAGGGAGTGGGGATGGGCATTGGCAGAGCGGGTGTCGGGATGTATCCGAAACAAGGACGTGCCTTTCATCAGCCACCTCGCTGGCCCCACCCCAACCAATCCTTCTTCCCAGTAACCCACAGGTTAAGTGTTCACCCTATTCCCCTCCCACATTAATCCAGCAGCCTGGCCACTCCACTTTACTAGTTAGGAAAGCTGACAGAGATCTCACACATTGGGAATAGACCTTATCATGGTAATGGTCAAAAAAGTTTTGTAACTGGTTAATTTAGGGGGAGATGATGGTCGACTGGGATTATTGATGGGGTAGTAATTCACACACCCAGGCTCGCTCTCAGGACCCAGACCTGAATGGCAACGTGACAAAAATCTGGAATTAAAAGTCTAATGATGACCATGAAACCATTGTTGATGTTCATAAAAACACATCTCATTCATCAATGCTGTTCCTTTAGGGAAGGAAATCTGCCAGCTCTACCTGGTCAGGCCTACATGTGACTCCAGACCCACAACAATGTGGTTGATCCTTAACCGCCCTCTGAAATGGCACAGCAAGCTTTTCAGTTGTACCAATCATTAAAAGGTTTTAAAGGAATTAAACCATACAGATTTGATCAACTGGCATCAACCTAGGCACCGGAAAAGACAATGGCGGAAACAGCCCTGTCGAGCCTGCAAAGTCCTCCTCACTAACATCTGGGGGTTAGTGCCAAAATTGGGAGAACTGTCTCACAGACTAGTCCAACAACAGCCTGACATTGTCATACTCACAGAATCATACCTTACAGACAATGTCCCCAACACCCCCATCACCGTCCCTGGATACGTCCTGTCCCGCTGGCAGGACAGACCCAGCAGAGGTGGCGGCACAGTGGGATATATGGTTGCCCTGGGAGTCCTCAACATTGCCTCTGGACCCCATGAAGTCTCATGGTTTCGGGTTTAACATGGGCAAGGAAACCTCCAGCTGATTACTACTTACCGCACTTCCTCAGATGATGAATTGGTACCCCACCATGTTGTACAACACTTGGAGGAAGCACTGAGGGTGGCAAAGTGGAATATTCTCTGGGTGGGGGATTTCAATATCCACCACCAAGAGTGGCTCGGCAGCAGTACGAGCTGGTTGGGTCCTAAAGGACATAGCTGCTAGACTGGGTCTGTGGCAGGTGGTGAGGGAACCAACAAGAGGGAAAAACATACTTGACCTCATCCTTACCAATCTACCAGCTGCAGTTGCATCTGTCCATGACAAAATCGGTAAGAGTGACCATTGCACAGTCCTTGTGGAGATAAAGTCCTGGCTATACTGAGAGAATACCCTCCATCGTGTTGTATGGCACTGTGATTGTGCTAAATAGGTTAGATTGGAGGAGATGGTGGAGCATCACTGGATAAGTAATCCAGAACTCCTGGCTAATACTAAAAGAACGGTAGATGAACATAACATAAGAACATAAGAACTGGGAGCAGGAGTAGGCCATCCGGCCCCTCGAGCCTGCCCCGCCATTTAATAAGATCATGGCTGATCTTTTTGAGACTCAGCTCTACTTACCCACCCACTCACCATAATCCTTAATTCCTTTACTGTTCAAAAATTTATCTAGCCTTGCCTTAAAAACATTCAGCGAGGTAGCTTCAACCACTTCACTGGGCAGGGAATTCCACAGATTCACAACCCTTTGGGTGAAGAAGTTCCTCCTGACCTCAGTCCTACATCTACTTCCCTTTATTTTGAGGCAATGCCCTCTAGTCCTAGTTTCACCTGCTAGCGGAAACAACCCCCTACTCCACCTTATCTATTCCCTTCATAATCTTATATATTTCTATAAGATCTCCCCTCATTCTTCTGAATCCCAGTCTCCTCAGTCTCTCCTCATAATCCAACCCTCTCAACTCTGGAATCACCTCTGCACCCCCTCCAGTGTTAGTATATTTCTTCTCAAGTAAGGAGACCAAAACTGCACACAGTATTCCAGGTGTGGCCTCACCAGGACCCTATACAGCTGCAGCATAACCTCCCTGTTTTTAAACTTCATCCCTTTAGCAATGGCAGAGAAAATTCCATTTGCCTTTTTAATTACCTGCTGCACCTGCAATCCTACTTTTAGCGATTCATGCACAAGGACACCCAAGTCCCTCTGCACAGCAGCGTGCTGCAATTTTTTACCATTTAAAACATAGTCCATTTTGCTGTTATTCCTACGAAAATGGATGACCTCACACTTATCAACATTGTACTCCATCTGCCAGACCTTTGCCCACTCACTTAGACTATCTATATCCCTCTGCAGACTTTCAGTGTCTTCTGCACACTTTGCTCTACCACTCACCTTGGTGTCATCTGCAAATTTTGACACATCACACTTAGTCCCCAACTCCAAATCATCTATGTAAATTGTAAACAATTGAGGTCCCAACACTGATCCCTGAGGCACACCACTAGACACTGATCGCCAACCAGAAAAACACCAATTTACCCCTACTCTTTGCTTTCTACTGGTCAACCAATCCCCTATCCATACCAATACATTATCTGTAATACCGTGCAACTTTATCTTATGTAGCAGCCTTTAGTGTGGCATCTTGTCAAATGCCTTCTGGAAATCCAGATACACCACATCCATAGGTTCCCCATTGTCCACCATGCAAGTAATGTCCTCAAAGAATTCCACCAAATTAGTTAAAGATGACCTACCCTTCATGAACCCATGCTGGGTGTTCCCAATGGGACAATTTATATCCCGATATCTTGCTGTTTCTTCCTCAATGATAGATTCAAGCATTTTCCCCACTACCCAAGTTAAGCTAACTGGCCTATAGTTAACAAGGTGTAGAGCTGGATGAACACAGCAGGCCAAGCAGCATCAGAGGTGCAGGAAGGCTGATGTTTCAGGCCTAGACCACATTGGCTGTTTTCCAATCTGCAGGAACCACCCCAGCGTCCAGTGAATTTTGGTAAATAATTACTAGTGCATTTGCTATTTCCCCCATCACCTCTTTTAGTACCCTGGGATGCATTTCATCAGGGCCAGGAGGCTTGTCTACCTTTAGCCCCATTAGCTTGCCCAGCACTGCCTCCTTAGTGATAATGATAGTTTCTAGGTCCTCGCCTGCTGTAACCTTCTTGCCATTAGTTTTCAACATGTTATTTTTGTCTTCCACTGTGAAGACCGACACGAAATAACTGTTTAATGCCTCGGCTATTTCCTCATTCCCAGTTATTAAATTGGCCTTCTCATCCTCTAAAGGACCAATGTTTACCTTCGCCACTCTTTTATGATTTACATATTTATAGAAACTTTTGCTGCCTATTTTTATATTCTGAGCTAGTTTACTCTCATAATCTAGCTTACTTTTCTTTATAGGTTTTTTTGTGGCTTTCTGTTGGCCTTTAAAGATTTCCCAGTCCACTAGTTTCCCACTACTCTTCGCTTTTTTGAATGTGATTTTTTTCAATCTGATACTTTCCTTTATTTCCTTAGACATCCATGGCAGGCTCTCTCTTTTCCTACAGTTCTTCCTTATCACTGGAATATACTTCTGCTGAGCACTGTGAAAAATCGTTTTGAAAGTCCTCCACTGTTCCTCAATTGACTCACCATAAAGTTTTTGCTCCCACTCTACCTTAGCTAATTCCTCCCTCATTCCTTCGTAGTCTCCTTTGTTTAAGCACAGGACATAGGTACTGGATTTAACCTTCTCACGCTCCATCTGTATTTTAAATTCGACCATACTGTGATCGCTCCTTCCGCGAGGATCCCTAACTGCGAGATCATTAATTATCCCTGTGTCATTACACAGGACTAGATCTAGGATAGCTTGCTCCCTCGTAGATGCTTTGAAACAAAAACGGAAATTGCTGGAGGAACTCAGCGGATCTGACAGCATCTGAATTCTGATGTAGAGTCACTGGACTCGAAACATTAATGTTGCTTTCTTCACACAGATGCTGTCAGAGTTTCTCCAGCAATTTGCGTTTTTACCCCAGGCTAATATTGCGGGTTTGAATCCTACCCTGACAAGAAGTGAAATTTAAACAAACGATAGCCTAACAATGACCATGTAAACACTGTCAATTGTCAGGAAAATTGCCTGGTTCAATCATGTCCTTTACGGAATAAATGGGCAATAAATGCTGACCTAGCCAGTAGCACCCACATTAATTTTTAAAAATTTTGAACAGTTCTAGCAACTTAAGACTGGGCCTCCATGAGGTGCTAAGGGCCAGCAGCAGCAGGAGAATGTAACTCCAACACAATCTGCAACCTCATGGTCTGGCATATCCCCCACTCAATCATTACCATCAAACCAGGGGATCAACTCTGGTTCAATGGAGAGTGCAGGAGGGCATGCCAGGAGCAGCACCAGGCATACCTGAAGATGAGGTGTCAAACTGGTGAACCCACCAAACAGGACTATATACATGCTAAACAGCTTAAACAGCAAAGTTTTAGGCAGAACTGAGCAATCCCACAACCAATGCCCAGTAACATAAAGTGGCAGCCATTTATTTACTTGCGGCCAATGTTCTTGTTTTGTTTAAAGAAACAAATTTCTTAAAAACTCCAACACCCATCTCCAGCTGGTGAATTAAAAATGAATAGCTGTCATTAACATGTCATCATAACAACATCCATTACCTTAACACTGGAGTGGTGAAGTCAGGAAGAACTTGAGGCAGTAGAATCCTGGAACAGTGCTGCCCCAAAAAGTCTTTTGATTTTGGAGATTAATTTGGACATTCCTAAACTGACAATGATACAGAGCTTTGTGACAAGAATAAGGACATGAGGCAGGTTGATGGAGTTTCAAACCAGCCAACGGTTAAATGATGGAACAGGCTCAAGGGGCTGAATAGCCTCCTCCTGTCCCAATGTCCCTAGCAGCATGTCAATCTTTCTTTTAAGGGTTGCAGTGACTGATGGCATACTCCCTCTGCTCCAGTTTTTACAGTGTGGTTAATGCTAACAATGTGTGCCATTCTGTCCTGTCACAGTGGCGATGTGATTCCCAGAGTTGAGTACACAGAGGACGAGAAAAGAACCTGGAGTATTGTCTATCGAGAACTGAAGACCCTCTACCCAACTCATGCATGCCTTGAACACAATCGTGTGTTTCCATTGCTGGAGCAGTATTGTGGCTATCGGGAGAATAATATTCCCCAACTTGAGGATGTCTCCAGATTCTTACAGTGTGAGTAATAGCAAGAATGCAAGAATTTGCATTTATATAACTCCATTAATGCAGTAAAATATCGCAAGATTCTTCCCAGGAACCATTAACTCACAAGCATTTTACACCCAAGACATACAAAACAGATAACTACAGGCTTGGTCAGAAATGTAGGTTTTAAGGTATATCTTAAAGGAGGTGAGATAAAGAGAGTTAAGGAGGTAATTCAGAAGTTTAGGGCTCAGTTGAAGCATTGGCATCAATGATGGACTAATTAAATGCTGAGATGCACAAGAGATCAGGAGTACTGGAATACAGAAATCTTTGAGTATTGAAGGACTGGAGCAGGCTACGGAGATCAGGAAAGGTGAAACCATGAAGGAATTCGAGGACCAGAATAAGAATTTTAAAATTAAAATATCAGAGCACTGGAAGCCAACATCAATCAGTCGGCACAGGGAGAATATGTGACTGGGATTTGGGCCAAATCGAGCAGCAGCAGAGATTTGACTAAACTGAAACTGATGGAAGTTTGTACCTAAAAGGTGACATTTCCAATTGCATGTTCCAGCAGGAGTACAGTATGAGCTGTGATTTTCAGTGAAAACATACCCACACCTACACTAACTCACACAGCCACATTAACACTCTCACTCATAAACACACACATACACACTCATTCACGCACTCACACACACATTCACTCATATGCACCACGTACCAATACTCACACTAACTCGCATTCTCACTGTCACTCATCCACACACGCACTCATTCGCACACACATACACACTCACTCATATGCACCCATTCACCCACACACACTTGTAGACACATGTACACTCACTCACAACACACATACACATACCCAAAAACACATACATACTCATCCACATGTACACACAAACTCGCACACATACACTGTCATCCACACACAATTCCCCTCACACTCAACCACATGCACACACACTTACACAACTCACCCACATCCTCACACACACTTGCACACAAACATACTCACTCACATATGCATATACCCACGCTCACGTACTAGCACACAGGTACATACACACATACACACTCACCCACACATGCACACACCCTCATGTGCTCACACATAGATACATGCATACATATGCATTCACCCACACATGCACACACCCTCACATCCTCACACAGATACATGCACACATACGCAGTCACCCACACACACACACCCTTCACATCCTTACACAGATACATGCACACACGCACACACACACACACACACGCACACACACTCACATACATGTGCATTTTGATGCCTCCAAATGTGAATGCCTCGATAAGGTGATTTTGATGCAGTATTGACGCATTTTGTTACTCACTGACGAAAGGGAAAAGACATCAGAAACAGAAACTGACTCCTGCCTTTACTTTGATGCTCTAAAGCTTGCACAGGCTTCCGCCTGCGTCCAGTGGCTGGCCTCTTGTCTTCCCGGGATTTCCTGGCAGGTCTGGCATTCCGCGTTTTTCATTCCACACAGTACATCCGACATGGGTTGAAACCGATGTACACACCAGAACCGTAAGTGTTCCTTTTTAATGGAAAGGCTTTGTGACTCATAATGAAATCAAACCAGGAAGTTCTTAATTGTCCATAGTGTGGAATTAATTCAGCTGGTCATTTGACAGCTCCAGGGATCTCAAAATTGTATTCCTTCCATAAGTAGATATAAAAATAAGCAAAGTGTTTAACTGTTAGTGTTACAATCTAATGATCTAGAAAAACAAAGGTGATGGATGCATAGGAATACCACTCCTGTAAGTTCCCCTCGAAGTCACATCCCATCCTGACAGGTGTATAAAGTGATTAGGAAGGCATATGGTACACTTGCTTTTATTGACCAAGGCATACAGTTTAAGAGCAGGGAGGTAATGCTGGAACTGTATAAAATGTTGGTTAGGCCACAGCTAGAGTATTGTGTGCATTTCTGGAGTCCACATTATGGGAGGGGTGTGACAACGCTAGATAGGATCCAGAGGAGATTTTCCAGGTTAAAAACAAAATGAATAATTGCAGATGTTGGAAATTAGAAACACAAACGACAATTGCTGGAAAAGTTCAGCAGATTGGGCATCATTTGTGGAGAGAAAGCAGAGTTGACATTTTGGGCCCAGTGACCTTTCTTCGGGACAGATTTATCAGGATGTTGCCTGGGCTGGAGAGTTTCAGTAATGAAGAGAGTTTGGACAGGCTGGGGTTAGTTTTCCTTAAAACAGAGGAGATTGAGAGGGGACATGATTGAGGTGTATAAAATTATGGGGGGCATTGATGGGATAGGCAGGAAGAAACATTTCGCCTTAGTGGAGGGACCAATGGCCAGGGGACAAAGATTTAAGATATCAGAAGGTTTAGAGAGGTAATGAGCAAAACTTTTTTCACCCAGAGGGTGGTAGGAATCTGGAACTGACTGCCTGTAAGGATGGGAGAGGCAGAAACCCTCATCACATTGAAGAAATATTTAGATGGGCACTTGTGATGACAAGGCATACAAGACCATGGGCCAAGTGCTGGGAAATGGGATTAAAATAGTTATAACAAGGTGTAGAGCTGGATGAACACAGCAGGCCAAGCAGCATCAGAGGAGCAGGAAAGCTAACATTTTGGGCCTAGACCCTTCTT